TGCGGCCATCGACGGCCACATTCGGCTGTAGATTTAGCTTTTTCTGGCCAGATCCGTGGTGGATCTGGCCAAAAAAGACCATATCGACGCGTTATGACACAGATTCGACCAGTCTGTGTCATAACGCAATTTTCCGGCCAGATTCCAATGGTGGTGGCCGAAATCTGGCACTGCAAGTAGTGGGGGTGTTTTTGTCATTTTATATATTAGGGTGTTTAATTAAATTAGCAAACCTAGGGGTTTTTTTTTTTATAAATTTTTAAATTTTACCTCGTAATACTCTCCTATTCAACTACCCAATATTATTCCCAAAATCATATCCAAAATAATGAACCAAACGCACCCAAGAATCTTGGCTGTCAAGAATGTTTACTTACTTCATTGACTTCTTAGGTTTGAATCACCTTAAGACCCTTAAAGATTAGTTAAGGTATACACAAACTGGTCCAAACACCCCGGTTATTAAAAAAAAAAAAAAGATAAAAGGAGTTTGTATTTCTAACGCTCTTTGTTTGACTTGCAGCAAAGTTTTGATATGTAACCAATGGTAAAAGAGCAAAATGAGGTTTCATGAACTTCTGAGTTCGAGCCCCCACAGGCCCTAATAGGAGTGGCCACTGAGGGATTTACCTGGTCGTCAACTTTAAGGTCCTGTTGGATTAGTTGAGGTACGCGCAAACTGGTCCAGATACCCCGATCACAAAAAAAAAAAAAAAAAGTTTTGATATGTGAGTGTAATTTGAAGTTGATGAAAGCTATCATTAGTTAGTATTAACTCATTGAAGTGCAATAGTACTCAAGAAAAAAAAACAACCTCATTTCAAAGTGATTGTAGAACTGTAAGTCCAAAAATTATATGTTTACCCTAACTTTAAAGTTTAACCTATTATCTTGTTAACATACTTTCAAAATGTGTCCTAAAAGAAAAGATACATTGATATGAATTTTAATGTATCAATCGGAAGTCTATTTTGCTATTGTTCTCAAGAGTATTTTTCAACATGTATGCTAATAGAATTTTTTCAAATTAAGGTAACTATTTGATAACAAATAATTCAAAATATCTAAGGAGAATTTCAAAACTTCAATGTTTTCAAGTCAAAATAAAATAAGCAAGGCCAAGTATATCACCTTCTGAAGCTCACAATAACTACTAAATATCTGAACTAATTTCTTCTCCATGGAAGGCTATTTTTAAGAACTCTTATTTTCTTAACGATGACACTGCTGTCAGGAACTAGAGAGAAGAAATATATGAAGAGAGGTTTTGGAAAAAGTGCCCTCTCACTTTCAGCTCCCTTCTCTTATCAACTTAAAAGTCCTATACATGAATTTTAAATGGGTCAAATGCTATACCCGGAGAGCCCCTAACTGATCCCTATTATTTAGCCTATATACATGGTAATATATCTATACAGCTAATATTAATAGAGAAGTCCTAAATTATATAAATTCCTAAATTGTATATAGTAACATCCCCCCTCAAATTGATGCTGGTAAGTCAACCAGCAACAATTTGCCAACAAGAAATTGATGCTACTGTCAAGTCATAGCTTTGGTGAAGACATCAACCACTTGGAGATCAGAAGAGATGTGAGAAAGAGATATCACCCGACTTTCCAAGGTGTCTCGAATAGAATGACAATCAACCTCAATGTGCTTGGTGCGTTCATGGAAAACATGATTGGTGGCAATTTGAATAGCACTAGTGTTATCAGCATGAAAAGGGGTAGAAGTAGTCTGAGGAAACCCAAGCTCCTTAAGAAGACCGTGTAGCCATACAATTTCAGAACAAGCAGTAGACATGACACGATACTCGGCTTCAGTAGAGGATTTAGAAACATGATCTTGTTTCTTACACCTCCAAGAAATTAAGGTATCACCTAAAAACATACACCAACCCGTAGTAGATCAACGTGTATTCGGACACCCAACCCAATCAGCATCACTATAGGCAACAAGTTGAAGAGATGAGATGGTAGGAAAGAACAACCCACGAGTAGGTGAACCTCGAAGATAGCGGATGATACGTCGAACTGCAGCAAGATGGAGATGCCGAGGAGAAGACATAAACTGACTGACCTGATGAACAACATAGGAGATATCAGGTCGCGTAGTGGTCAAGTAGATAAGACTCTCAACTAGGCGCCGATAGAGAGTAGGATCATCCAGAAGGTCCCTTTCATCTTTCCTGTATTTGACATTTACCTCCATAGGAGTATCAACAGAAGAAGTGTCCTCCAAACCAGCCAAAGTGATAAGATTTTGGATATACTTATGCTGGTTCATGAAAATACCATTGGCTCGATGATGAACTTCTAATCCTAAGAAGTATGTGAGTTGGCCAAGATCTTTCACATGGAAAGTTGCATGTAACAACTGCTGAATCTTAGTAATCAAACTACAGTCAGTGCCAGTAATGATAATATCATCCACATAAACCAAGAGAAGGACTATACCCGATGCAGACGTGTGGAAGAAGAGAAAAGAATCATACTAACTTTGTGTAAAACTGGAGGAAATAAGTGTACTGCGAAACTTCTCAAACCAAGCCCGGGGTGCCTGCTTGAGCCCATACAGAGAACGCCTTAGCTTACAGACATCATGAGGAGAAGAAGTAGTCATACTAGAGGGAAGCTTCATGTAAATCTCTTCTTGGAGATCACCATGAAGAAAGACATTCTTCGCATCCATCGGATGCAGTTGCCACGACTGTGAAGCGGCAATAGCTAAGATGGTTCAAACTGTGGTCATTTTGGCAACATGACCAAATGTCTCCTCATAATCAACCCCATATTCCTATTTGTTACCTAAAGCTACGAGGCGAGCTTTGTACCGGTCCAAAAAGCCATCAGAATGAAGTTTTACAGAGCAAACTCATTTACTCCCAATAGGTTTGACTGTAGGAGGACAAGGAACAATATCCCAAGTGTGATTCTCCTCAAGTGCTTGAAGTTTTGCTTGCATTGCATTTTGCCAACGCGCATGTTCCCTGGCCTGTTTGTAGCAAGAGGGAATGAAAATAGTGGATAAAGTAGCAACAAGAGAGACAAGAGAGAAGAAAACGTACCAATTAGGGGGTCGAGAAAGACGAGTAGACCGACGAAGAGTGGTGGAAGCAGGAGTAGGATCAAGCGTTGGGTCAAGATTGGAAGGGGTCACAGAGGAAGTGGAACCAGACTCATGTCGACTACGTCTTTCATACACAAAACCAGGTTTAAACATTTCTACAATGGTTGGGGAATCAGAAAATTAGGCAAAAGAGATAAAGATGTAGAAGGCAGCTCAACATGAGATGGAAAGAAATATTGATTTTTCAAGAAAATCACATTCCTAGAAACCCGTATACGACGAGTATGAGGATCATAACAAACATAACCCTTTTGAGGGATAGCATAACCAAGAAAAACACACTTAATAGACCGAGTAGTAAGTTTATGACGTTGATGAGTAGGGAGATGCACAAAACAAACACAACCAAATGTACGAAGATCATAATATAAAGGAGAATGACCAAGCAACTTAAAGAAAAGATAAACATGATTTAATGTAGGAGAGGGTAAGTGATTGATCAAATGAATGGCAGTAGAAAATGCTTCACACCAAAAACGAGAAGGAATGGATGATTCAAGTAAAAGGGTTCTTACCACATCAAGAATGTGACGATTTTTCCTCTCAGCAACACCATTTTGCTTTGGTGTCGAAGGACAAAAACGTTAAGAGAATATCCCTTTGCTTTGAAGAAAGTTCTAAAACTCATTAGACATGTATTCGCCGCTAGAATCAGAGCGCAAAACCTTGATGCTGGCAGAGAATTGAGTCTCAAGAAGTGCAAGAAAGTGCTTAAAGACTGAAAAAACTTTGGCCTTAGCCTGGAGGAAGTAAACCCAAGTAAAGCGACTAAAGTCATCAATGAAAGTAACAAAGTACTTATAATGCGCATGAGAAACAATAGGTGCAATCCCCAAACATCACTATGAATAATATTAAAACATTATGAGGCATGAGATGCATGATGAGGAAATGGTAGAACTTTACTTTTGCCAAGTTTGCATGATGTACAATCAAAAGAAAGATCAAGAGAAGAACATGCTTTATTTCCCAATAATCCAGAATTAAACAAAGTACGAAGTACATTAGAGTTTGGGTGGCCTAGACGTCTATGCCACATCTTATTTTCAGAACCAACAACATTACATGCAAATGAAAGTAAAGGAAAACTAGGAATAATAATGGAAGGAGAAACATGAAGAGGAAAGAGTCATCCCACTTTAGGCCCCTTCGCGATCATCTTCCCTGACACTTGATCCTGAACAACACAACCAGAACGGGAGAAATGGACATTACAATTATTATCAACCAATTGGCCAACAGAAATAAGATTTATGAAGAGGTTAGGAGACACATAAACATCAGTTAAGGAAGAGGAAAGATCACCAACAGCACTGATAAGCAGAGAACTGCCATCAGCGGTGTTAATTTTTAGATTTCCATCATAATTTCTGACATTGGAAAGAGGAACAACAATATTGGTCATATGGTTAGAGGCTCTAGAGTCAAAACACCATGGCTTAAAAGAAACTCTATGATTACCTGAGAGCCCAAAAGCAGAAAAAACAGAAAAAGCATAAATGATCATCTGTTGCACCATTTTAGGAGTGAGGGTGTTCGGGTTTGCTAAGGCTGTAGAAGGAGGAATAAGAACAATCGGCGAGGCAACAGGCAATGCCGTAGAACTAGAGGCACCAGTTGAGGCATGATAAGTAGTACCCTGCTTCCTTCAGGTCGAATAGGACAAGTAGAGATGATATGACCTATTTCTTGCAGTAGTTACAGAACTTCTTGGGACAATCCCGAGCAATATGACCAAAAGCTTTACAACTAAAGCACTGGACAACACACATATCTCTACCCTTATTCCTCCCCTGTGCTGCATAAGCCACAGAAATAGGTGCACTAACATTAGCCCGATGTTCCATGGCAGCCTGAGTTACAATATGTTACTCCTCACAAAGAAGTTCACTCAAACAGGCATCCAGAGATGGTACAGGATGACAATTCATCAGATTAGACCGTGCAATTTCCAAGTCACGTCGTAGCTTCATCAAGAATTGATCGCGCTTGCTGGTTGCATGCACTGCTTGGACAGCAGAGAGAGCTGCAACGGGAACATTAGCATAAACAATATCGGAATAATCAGCCCAAAGAGTTTGAAAACCAGAAAAATATTCCTCAATTGAGAGACTTCCTTGTGTGAAATTAGCCATCTCATACTCCAATTGAAATCGCCTAGCGAAGTTGTCTTGATTATAAACTGTGTTGAGATAATTCCATATAGCAGTGGTGGTTTTATAAGGCTTCAAATTGAGAACAAGATGAGGCTCAACCGAGCTAAGGATCCAAGTCATAACCCAAGCATCCTTAATTTCCCATTTAGACAAAGCCTCGACACCTTGAGGTGCGAGAGCACTCCCATCAATATGACCACACAATTCTTTTCTTTTAACAAATAATTTAAATTGAAACTCCCAAGTAGAATAATTTTTGCCAGAAAACCTAATATGGACCGATTCCAACTTATCCGATGACATGATGCAACCAAGAGACAGAGAGAATATCCCACCAGAAAATTGTAACTTGCACCGTGAAAAAAAAAAAACCACAAAGAAACACGCACCAGAAAATCTATTGCACTGAAAAGAAGCACAACCATGGACGACAACAGAGATCTCCGAAAGCCACAACTAACAAGAAATCAACACTAGAGGCGCCGAAAACAAGAGAACATACCAGAAAACACCACAGACGACGCCGAAAACAAGAGCCCAGAATTGGAAAATGCAACTGATGGTGCCAACAGCAAAAACCGAACCAAAACACCCACTTTTGATGCCGACAGAAACCCAAGAACCAAAAAATAGCCACAAACAGTGTCGAAATCAACACCTAAACACCCTAAGAGAGAAAAAAAATTGCAAAACAGGCAAGTAATCAAACCTGCTCTTGATACCATGTCAAAAACTAGAGAGAATAAATATATGAAGAGAGGTTTTGGAAAAAGTGTCCTCTGACTTTCAACCTCCTTTCTTTTATCAACGTAAAAGTCCTGTACATGGAAAAATGAGTCAAATGCTATACCCGGAGAGCCCCTAACTGATCCAAATTATTTAACCTATATACATGGTAATATATCTATACAGTTAATATTAATAGAGAAGTCCTAAATTATATAAATTCCTAAATTGTATACGGTAACAAATGTTAATAGCGAGTCCTATTATATTCACGATACATGTACCCATTCCTCCCCCGCCAAAACCAATCCAGCAAAAATCTCAATCAATAAACAAACCTGATGGTGAGTCCCCTATCCTGGGAGTAGTTGGCTCTACTCCCAGGAAGTTGGTGCATCATCAGGGCAAGCCTTGGGCAATTGAAAGCCACAGAGGCCAACATTTCCTTTAAAAGGCATTTCCAGTTTGTGAATACTTGATCGAACCACCAAAGTTGTTGGATTGCAGGATGAGTATTCCTGCCAAAATGGGAATGAACATTTTTCCCGACTTTTAGTACTTCCAGATTTCGGCAGCTAGACAATGATCCAATATTCGTTGGTCCTCAAGGCAGTGCTGGCTAGAAACTAAACTAGAGAGATGGCAAAATCCAAGGAACAAGTTTGAGAGCCAAAATTTCCAGGAACATTGAAGTGGATTGCCCATTTGAGGGCTAATTTAGTTTCAAGAAAACAAAATGAAAGACAATATAGAAAACGAAGTCTTCTCCTGAAATGTTGTTTTCAATCATATAAAAAGTTACCGCTTACTCTCACGCCGCCGAAAAGTTGAGACGACTTACGACTTTGTTTTTACTTTCTAGGTTCCCTTTTCAACTGTTAATTTGTCAAAGACTTAGTAAAATGACCAATATGTTGAAGCGTTTTGAATGCAACACTTTTATATTGCAGTTTGTAGCCGTCTGATTTCCCTAAGGCCATCGCAAACGTACACGTAGGCACTGGCACTGTCCCTCCCACCAAACTAAGCAACCAACTAATCTTATCTCATAACTGTCCATAACCACCACAGATTTCTATGTATTCCTCCTAATATTTCAGGAATATTCATCCCTTTTCTCATTTCACCTCGACACAGCATACAGAATCTAACAATGCTCCTACGTGGCATCATCTCCACTCCCCTCCCATCTCTCCACCTCAAAAAAACAAATCGAAACGTCTGCGTCTCAGCTCAAACCACTAGCATCAACAAATTCTCCATCTCCGACCAAGAACTCGAATCCCGTGGCTTCATTCTGCGCCGCACCATCTCCGACCTCAACCTCGACCACCTAAACTCGGTGTTCGTTGCCGTTGGATTCCCCAGGCGGGACCCAGAGAAAATAAGACTGGCATTAGAACACACGAGCTCTCTGTTATGGATCGAGTACAAGAAGACTCAGAAACCGGTGGCGTTCGCTAGAGCGACAGGTGACGATGTGTTCAACGCAATAGTTTGGGACGTGGTGGTGGACCCGTCGTTTCAAGGGATTGGGTTAGGGAAGGCCGTGATGGAGAGATTGATAGAAGAGCTGTTAGCCAAAGGGATATATAATATAGCGCTGTATTCTGAGCCCAGAGTGTTGGGGTTTTATAGGCCGTTAGGATTTGTAGCGGATCCTGATGGGATTCGAGGCATGGTTTATTCTAGAAAAAACATATACAAGAAATCATGATCTCTCTCTTTTTTATTTTTCAAAACATTGGTTTTTGGTGATTCAATAATCTTAATCAAATAAGACAGGCTCATGATTGACCTCTTTTTGTTTTGTGAAGTGTGTTAGTTTGGTGGTCATGTTTATAACAGTGACTCAAACTGGTTGATTGGTGCATCAGCTCAAATTACACCAAAGTCGAACCAGTGGGAATGAGTGTGATTGAAATCTGTAAAAGTACATTACGACAGAAGGGAGATGTTTCAACTGATTGATTATCTTTCTAAACTATTGCACATTTTCTAGCCTAGGATTTTCGGTTCCTGGAGCAGATGCAGGGGCTAAAATTCCAGAAATACCAAAACATGCCTAAAGAAAATTGTATTGACAGATTGAAACAGTTGAACTTTAGACACTTTTATTATTGAACACTGTGAGGGTTTTCTACATTCTACATTCTGATACAACTTCTAATACAAACCACTGCTGATCACATTGAGGAGATTTTAATTCTCCAACTATTACTCATCGCAAACTGCCAAAAAAGAAAGTGCTCCCGGTTCCATGTTTCTGTTCTCCTGCCCAAAACCATTAATCAGAAACTGAGGTCACTAGTTTCTCTAAATAATCAATGTTGTATATTGTGAAAACAAAAATAGTTGTTAGGAAATGCATGTAAAGTATACACTGCATATGAAAATCAAACGGCTGATAATCCATAATAAGCTTCATTGAGAAATTTAAACAGACGGGTACTGTGGTGAATATGCATGATCACTACAAAAAAGTATGGAGGAGGGTGAGACTGAGAACTGAAAAATGCTTATAGACTCAAAAAATTTGCAAAACATAGTCTTAACTAACATTGTATTCATGATTACCTCTTATTCAAATTCAGATCGGACAGATGAAAAATCAACATAACAGTAATGTCAGAGAACCCAAGCAAAAATTGATTACATGCTTGAGCAAAGATGACAAAAGATTTCACTAAAACTAACGGAGAATACATGTACTAGATTCAATAAGTCATATTACATTGGTCATAGAAAATTCTAATTGAGACAACCAATTGAGTTCAAGACATGATCACAGCAATTTTTTTAGTCCTGTAACAAAATTGGGATTAATACCCACCATTGTTTCCACAAATAAAGTGACAATCGTTGGCGAAGAATATGGACCTAAACGAATCGACAATCAGCACCGAAAAAATTAAGAGTCTAAAACACTATCATAAGAACATTATTGAACAACCCAGTTGCTTATTAACAAAGAAAAAGCAAATGATCATTCATATCATGTTGATGGAGGTGAATTTGGAGAGAGAAGAAGCAATACCTCCACATATGGATCAAGAAATGGCCTTGGCGTTGTGCAAGAAAGCGATCGAGCATAGAATGGAAGCAATGAAAGCAAAAATGCCAAAACCAATCATCAAAGAAATCCCTGCCACTACCAAATCCAACACAGACTGCACACTTAACCCCATGAATAGCATTATGTTTTCTCTTTTATGGTCCCGAAAAATGTGACTAAAAGACTTAGAGAAAGAAAGGAAAGGAAAATTTGAAGTGAGTTTTTTAGCTCAAGTATTGTGTTGCAGTTGCAAGCGGTTAGTTGAGTAGAAAGTTGGGATAGGGATTGAGGAGTAGTCTCTGGTACATAGAGACGGTGGAGAGAAATAGGATCAAGAGGCGAAAGGCAAAGGAGACCGATTAAAATTACCGTTACTGTCCTCGTAGTGGGCTTGGGCCTCGTTAAGACCACATTCTGGATATTGTAAAGAACGAAAAGCTTTAGATAGATATACTTTCAAATTTCTATTTATTATTTTATTTTATTATCCATAGAGAGATATTACATGTATTTTATTGATGCTCAATTTCCACAAGGATGCCTGACTTCAACACTTGGTTAATTATGTAATGCATTTTTTAAGATTAACGTACAATTCTCTTTATTCTTGAAGGCAATGTGGTGAACATTTTGCTTAATTTAATTCTTGAAAATTAAGTTTTTGTTAAACTTTACAAAGGGTCTTACACTTCTTCAGCAAGATCTCAATTAATGGATTGAAAGAAATGAAGTCATATAGTGGTTCTAGTAAATGGTAAATTCAATATTGTGTTTTTCATAAAATTATTATGGATGCTTGTTATGCTAACTACCATTTAAATGTAGTGACGGAGCTACATGCGGGCTTGCAAAATTCAATTTTGTGCCCAGGCTTCACAAATTTTTCTAAAGGGGAAGGACTTACACTTACTCAGAGTTTGCTTTAAAGACAAATTGGTACCCAAAAGGTTTTAAAATGATAAATACTCACTTTTTGTCTAAATCAGTTAGAAAATCTGTTAACTAAAATGGTATTATCGACATTCTATCATTTTTATGGGGGTAATTTTGACTTTTTGTGTTTTAAGGTTTGTGCATAAAAAAAAGAGTTAAAAAAAATTGCATTAATAAAATATTAAAAAAATCCGCCCAAATCTCTTATCATTCGTCTTCTTCTCCCCTTTCTCTTTCTCTTATTATCTCCCTTCATCGAAAGCCTCTCTCCTCTCTCTCTTCCCGTCTTCATCTTCTTCATCTCTCTCATAAAAGGGCAAAAAAAAGGGGTCTTTTGCAAAGCTGTCGCACTTCCCCACCCATTTTTCGGAAGCCTCGTCACCGAAAACCTTTCCTCTCCCCGCCAATCGTCTTTTCGGTGTGCCCTCTCCAAAACCCCCATTTTCCCCGTCGTTGTTTGCTCACATTTCACCGCCCATTGAATTCCTAGGGTTTTTGTTGTTTGTTGAATTGAGATTGATTGGTGTTTTTTGGATTTTTTGATGAGAAATTGATGGTTGGAGATTAATTGGGAGTGTTTTTTTTTGTGTTTTTGTTTGATTTTTGGGGATTTCTGATCGGTTTTGGCATTGATGATTGATTTTCCAAGTTTTGGCACACCACTTATTTGAGGTTTTGCCCCAAACCTTCTATGCCTTGCGTGTTTTGGTTCTTTTGAGTGTTTGAGAGTGATTGTTTGGGATTTTTTGCATTGAATCTTTTGGTGATTTGAGTGAGGTTTTTTTGGGGCTTTGGTCGTTTTTGCTGCTGGTTGTCCTGTGGTTCTGGCGAGAGATGAAGAAGATGAAGACAAGATTTTAATTAAAATTAATTATAAAAATAAAATAATTAAAATTGAGAAGAAATATTTTTATAAAATTAATATTAAAGAGAGAAATTGGGCAGAATATTATATTTTTTTGTTGGATATAAAATTATCATATTATCCTTTTTAAAACTAACTTTACTAAC